GCAGAGGTGGTTATTAGGGAGCGCGACAAACGAACCTTTTCATGCATATAGCCCTGAGTTTCGTTTATCAGGAAAACCGAGTTTTATTAAAAAATATTGTGTTGCTGGGGAATGCTGAAGGAAATATCTTTGAAATTCGCAGGGAGTTGACATTTCTAAGGGCTGCAGGGGTGGTTATTAGGGAGCGCAACAAACGAAACTTGGCATGCATATAGCTCCGAGTTTTCTCTATCAGGAAAACCACCTTTTCTTAAAAAATATTGTTTTGCTGGGGAATGCTGAAGGAAATATCTTTGAAATTCGCTGGGAGTTGGCATTTCTAAGGGCTGCAGAGGTGGTTATTAGGGAGCGCGACAAACGAACCTTTTCATGCATATAGCCCTGAGTTTCGTTTATCAGGAAAACCGAGTTTTATTAAAAAATATTGTGTTGCTGGGGAATGCTGAAGGAAATATCTTTGAAATTCGCAGGGAGTTGACATTTCTAAGGGCTGCAGGGGTGGTTATTAGGGAGCGCAACAAACGAAACTTGGCATGCATATAGCTCCGAGTTTTCTCTATCAGGAAAACCACCTTTTCTTAAAAAATATTGTTTTGCTGGGGAATGCTGAAGGAAATATCTTTGAAATTCGCTGGGAGTTGGCATTTCTAAGGGCTGCAGAGGTGGTTATTAGGGAGCGCGGCAAACGAACCTTTTCATGCATATAGCCCTGAGTTTCGTTTATCAGGAAAATCGAGTTTTATTAAAAAATATTGTGTTGCTGGGGAATGCTGAAGGAAATATCTTTGAAATTCGCAGGGAGTTGACATTTCTAAGGGCTGCAGGGGTGGTTATTAGGGAGCGCGACAAACGAAACTTGGCATGCATATAGCCCTGAGTTTCGTTTATCAGGAAAACCGAGTTTTATTAAAAAATATTGTGTTGCTGGGGAATGCTGAAGGAAATATCTTTGAAATTCGCAGGGAGTTGACATTTCTAAGGGCTGCAGGGGTGGTTATTAGGGAGCGCGACAAACGAAACTTGGCATGCATATAGCTCCGAGTTTTCTCTATCAGGAAAACCGAATTTTATTAAAAAATATTGTTTTGCTGGGGAATGCTGAAGGAAATATCTTTGAAATTCGCTGGGAGTTGGCATTTCTAAGGGCCGTAAGGGTAGTTAATATTGAGGCTGATAAATGAAACGTAGTATGCAAGTGCATATAATCAATATCTACAACGAAAGTTTTCATTTACTCTATATTTTTTTGTTAATAATATGTACATACAATTTTATCCCATGTCCCTATAGTTTGCCATGTAAATATCCTAAGGGTTCGTTTTAAGGGTAAATTTAGTAATTGCGATGTGTCACCTTGATATATATCATTATAATAATCTTTTGAACCAATAAAAATAATTAATTAGTCATTTTTTTTTTTTCGATTTTTTCGTTATTGAATAACGTTACAAACTTCAGACTCATAGTCAACCAGTAAATCTATTAAGCCGTAAGAAAGTGAGTGGAAGCAAAAAGAAGTAAGCGAGTCTAAAAACACTTGTTAGTAACACGAACAAAACCTTTTATTATCACTCAATTGCTACATAAGATCGGCCCGCGCTTTTGTTTACATCGACGCTCGCTCATCGACAACACGTATTGTCGGGACGCTCGCTGCTCTTTGTTATTGGAGCCGTTACATACACGCTTCGGATATGATAGATCGATTATTAATCATGCAACCGCGACCGCGAGATTAAGCTGGCCAGCTTACCTTGATATTGCAGACGTTCGTAGGAAACGGTAGACACACACTGCGAGAAAGTTGTCTTATTGTTTATATCGCGGGTCGCGAATGCGCGCACACGCGGTTTCGCCCTCGATGGCGAAACCTCATACACACTCTCTTGATTTCGTCTGGTGCGACGCTTCTCTGTCGGCGCAGATCTCTCCCTTTGGCTGCTGTAGGGCACCTCGACGATAGCGATCACTCTGGCTATTACTGATACTGGCGTCCTCTCGATTTTCGGTGTTAGCTGCAACGGATCGGTAGTGGCAAAACAACAAAAGCTGACGAGCGTGTTGGTAGTCAAAGCTTCACTAGTTCGGTTTCAATCGCGCGCGTTCCGTCTGCTCGCGCGCCGAATTCCTTCGTCACGTATTTCGTCCCCCCGGTAGGTGCTGCCCTCCCAGGCAGCAATCAGGTTAGGTTATCAGCGCTAATTTGACGTTTACCGTCACAAGGTCTAATCAAAAAAAAAAAATACGTGTCGGCTTATTTTTGAAGTAGAATAACATACTCCACAGCCGAGTCAATCGGAGATATCATTGCCGTAGGCCTGCCCGATCTGAAATGGATCCGGTCTTATACAATTTCATAATAAAAAAGTAACATACGAGGTGTGTTCAAAAAGTAACGAGAATTTTTAAATTTCGCGGGTTTGGAGAGTTCGCTTGTATAAAATTTTTTTTTATTATGTTGGTACACATGCCCCTGAAGTACGATAAAATTTTCAGCAATATTCATTGCTTACTTTTTAAGGGGCAGCCGCTAACGTTAGACGTGTTTTTCGAGCTCGGCGATTTTCGTTTGTGAAAAAAAATGGATGAAATAATTTGTATTAAATTTTGCGTAAAAAATGAAATAAAGTGTAGTAAAGTTTGTCAAATGTTAACAAAGGCATATAGTGAGTCTGCTATGAGTAAAGCAAGGATTTATGAGTGGTATAAGCGTTTCCAAGATGGCCACAAAAACGTTGAAGATGACGAACGACCCGGACGCCCAAGCACATCAACAACCGATGAAAACGTGAAAAAAGTGAAAGAAATGGTTATGAACGATCGCCGAATCACAATCAGAGAAGTCGCTGATGATGTTGGCATATCAGTTGGCTCATGCCATCAAATTTTTTCGAATGTTTTGGGTATGAAACGTGTGGCAGCAAAATTCGTTCCAAAATTGTTGAATTTCGAACAAAAACAGCGGCGAATGGAAGTTGCTCAGGAGTCGCTAAATGAAGTCAATAACGATGCAGAACTACTAAACGTGTTATAACAGGTGACGAAACATGGATTTACGGATATGATGTCGAAACTAAGGCTCAATCGTCCCAGTGGAGGCATTCTGGATCGCCAAGACCGAAAAAGGCTCGACAAGTGCGGTCGAATGTGAAGGTTATGCTCACTGTGTTCTTCGATTTTAATGGCATAGTGCATTATGAATTCTTGCCACAAGGTCAAACAATCAATAAGCAAGTTCAACGTCGTTTGCGTGAAGCAATCCGAAAAAAACGCCCGGATTTGTGGCAAAACAATTCATGGCTTTTGCACCACGATAATGCGCCTGCTCACACTTCATTGCTTGTTCGTGAATTTTTGGCCAAAAACGAAACTGTAACGATGCCTCAGCCTCCATATTCGCCAGATATGGCTCCATGTGACTTTTTTCTATTTCCAAAAATAAAGAGAACATTAAAAGGCCGTCGTTTTACAAGCATAGATGACATTAAAAGCGAATCGCTGAAAGAGCTAAAAGCTATTACAAAGATCGAGTTTCAAAAGTGTTTCGAGGATTGGAAAAAGCGTTGGCATAAGTGTATTGTATCCGAAGGGGACTATTTTGAAGGCGACAACATTAATGTAGATGAATAAATAAATATTTTTTTCATAAAACGAAAATTCTCGTTATTTTTTGAACACACCTCGTATATTTAGTTTTGATATCCATAAAAGTTATTTTTTTATTATCTTTATGAAAGCTACCCTTTATTCTGATTTTAACTTCAAATTCCACAATCGTAAATTAGATAAAATTATTATAAATATTATTAATAAATAATATCATTATTTATAACTTATTATTAATTATTATAAATTAGTAACAAATCAAAAAATTAAAAACTTTTATAAAATCCTTTTATAAAAGAAACAGACAAAATGAAACCAGTTTATTCGTGATCTATATGACTGCAAGATAGTCACATGATCAGTTGTTACGTGATAGTATATGTTCTAGACGCTTATGAAAGATTAGTGCAAATTTTCGTTGACGATTAAAAATTGAAAAAGTGTATCGATATATTGGCATGAATTTAATGTGAATTGATGGATTTAATCATATTAATTTCAAGATAATGACCGACTGATCCTTCGATAGAGAAATTAATTGAACTTTACTCTATACGAAAATTAAATTTTAAATATACAAAGTGGGCAATAAAATATATAATTCAATAGATTATCTTGATAAAATATTGTACAGTAATTACATAACTTTATTAAATTACGTAAAATATTAAAAAATTATTCTGAAAAGGCACCAATTACAACCATGAACATTCTGTACCAAAGTATATTATTGATATCGTGAAGGTTATGATTATATATTATATTATTTACATCGTGAAGGTTATGATTATAGAAAACTAATGTTTTTAGAAATTATAATACATTTTTCATCGTATTTTTTCAACTTTTGAATGATTATTTTTTAACACAGAACGCAGGATGTTGAAAACTTAAAACTTCATTGATAACATTTTTAAATTATGAGTATGAATATAACTGTATATTTATTTACCAAACAAATATTGTTGACACATATCAAAGCATGAGATGGTTTAATATATATTGAATCTTCTAATTTTCAATTTCGGCAATAAAAGTTATAATCTATCGTTGTGTGTTAAAATGGATGCAACAAAAAAACGAAAAAGATGAGCGCTTGAAGCGTGCTAAACATCACTCGTGAATATTAAAAAGGTGTGGAACGGATTGTATTACAGTTGATTAGAAGAATATTAGGAATTATCTTATTGTTCAATGATTTATAAAATTAAAAAAAATATAAAATACTAGTATTAATAATGATCTAATAAATATATGGTAGTTTAAGCTCCAACTATATATATATATATATATATATATATATATATATATATATATATATATATATATATATATATACACTCAAATTATTCAATGAATACTTATAATATATATTATATAACGAATTTCTACAGTTTGCAACAGAAATGTTCAAAGCAGCCATGACAAAGTCAATTAGATTGGAATTTTTCATGGATTATTATAATAGAGCTGACAGACGGCTGACAGAGGTGAAAAAAGACAACGACTTTATTTATCACGAAAGGATTCCAGATATTGCGAGTTTACCTTCAATTAATAAGGCAAATGTAGCCAAATTATCGCCAATTCCACCTCAATTGAGTTCTGACTTCCAAGGTACGGTTATATGTAACTATAATTTATTCTATTGTTACCTCTCGTACTCTTAGCTATGAATAGTTGACAACAGAAATGTTCCAATATGTTAAAATGAAAAGACTTAGAATAACTATTATTTGTTTAAATAAAGTAAAAAATTGTACATTACCTTGATTTTTCTGAAAAAGTCTTATAGTGACACGAATCCTCTGATAAGTATGGAATAGTTGATATTTAAGATAGACGTTTTCGAAAGAAATAACAATAATTACTTTAGTAATATACGTTCTTTGAAATTATAAAATGGACCTAAAGTAAATATAATTCTCAATGGCAGATTTGTAAAGAATGAAATAGAGTGTAATGTAGCGATTTCATCATTCGAACGCAAAGAAAAACAGACAATTGTCAATCCAGTGTAATACGGAGGTCGCGAATATGAACTGACTTGATAGCGAAACTCAAAGTAGTTCAAAAGCTTCATATTCCATTTGCAATGCTTATTCTCGATTTTTATAATTCGGCTTACGAGAAACTTTTGCTATATGAAATAAAGTAAAATAATACACCTTACGACGCTACATTATATACCTACAATTGCTCATTTTTAAGTGTAGCCATCTTAGATTATATTTGTTGTTTTTTAAGACGCAGCTTGTCTAAATTCGCCAAATTAATGTCAGCATCAAATTTATCTACATATAACTCTTATTTGAAAAGTAAAGAAGAACACCTCATGTTTCAGATAGTTTTTTCATTTTTCTTTGTAATCTACTATGTCGGAAAAATTAGTGAATAAAAATTTTTTTTTTTTAATTTGAGAAAATTCTACAGTATTTTACATAGAAATAGAAATATGTGCATTTTCCTATGATTTGAACTTAGAAAATTATGAACATTTGCAAAAAACGTAAATTTTCGAGAAAAATGCTTAAACTTAGGTTATATTTGATGTAAATAATTTTTTAATGAGTGATTTAGATAGAATTTGGAAAGAGAAAGAAAATTTCGTGATCAAAATTTTCCTGTTATTTTTTCCCTAGAATTAGCAAGAGATCAAAAATCTAGTTAAAATTTTGGAATTTTAATCAATAAATTATCGTTTGAAAAAATAAAAAAACTATTTAAAAGCTTTTGGAAAGAATTTTCAAATATTCCGGCTCTCGTCTCTGTAGTTAGTTTTGAAGGAATATATGAAACTTCAAAGTTTGAACAATTTTGCTCGGAGGGGGTGAAAATACGTGACCGGCAGTGTATATATAGGATGGTACATTTTAATCAAGGGTTTCGAATGGCGTACGAAGTGTGCATGGCATCGAAAAATGGCCTATATGAAAGTTGTAGGAAACGGAGGGGGTCATGTAACGGTGATCGTAGACTTGATTTTCAAGATTATTTACGGGTCAACTTTATTTTTTCACACAAGAATTTCAATTTTTTACCTCGGATTCAAAAAGAGCGAGAAATTCTATGTAAAAATAAGGCAGCACAGTTGGGGTCTGTGTGAACCCCTAAGGTCATATGAATATCAATTTTCTTTTCCGCATAATTTACCCAACAAAATTGACATTTGTTCGACGTTTCAAACAAAAGTTGTTTGATTTTGGGAGGGACATGTTGCAATGACTTTGCTTTTGACCTTGGAGGTCATTTCAAGATCAACTGTAAGTACTATATTAATAGAAATCCCTGTTTTTTATCCTGGATTTGGAAAAAAACAGAAATATCTCTCTATTATCGAGATTACATACCTAAAGTCTAGTTTATCCCTTCCCCTTACTGCTCCCTATTCATGATCATGAATTAGTTTCTGGGGTAAAATGAAAATAAATTGGAGATTGTCTTTTATTTATTAATTTTATATTTTAGTTCTACAATGTGCAGTCTTAATTGTAAAAACGTTAACGAAAACTAACAACCTGTGAAACAACTCAATTCAATGAATTGCATGTCTCAATTGATACAATAATTACGCCTTTCAACTATTTATCAGATGTTCAAAGTTGCCTTCATTAGCTACTGTACATAAATTAAGTCTTCCTTCAAATTATGTCACTGTACTCAATAAAACTCTTCTAGGTATTATGGTATATGCTTCGCAGATTCGCTCCATCATGTTCTCTCTTATTGAAGGTTGCTGTTGATAAACTACGTTCTTTAGATATCCTAACAAATAGAAATTAGGAGACGTCATGTTAGGTGGACGAGGTGGTCAGACGATTGGTCCCCAACAACCAATACATCTGTGTAAATATACTTTTTTGAAAAAAATTTCGCACTATATGTGAAAAATGTGGAGGCGCTTTAACCCATTAACGCTCACAGGACGGTTTTTCGAGACCTGAGTTTGAACTATTCTCATGTCATGAATTCTCGTGGAAAAAATTCAGGAACCATTGTTTCTTATGTTTTCGAGTGTCCTCTTTCCAATGATGCTGGTTAAAATTGTCGCTGAAAAACTTTTACTGTCCAAAAATCAAAAATAAATAAAAAAAACATGATTTTCTGATTTAATTTTTTTTTTAAATCGACTTTTCGTTCCCTAAGCATTTTTTTAATGCCTAAAACCCTTATAGATCGCGGCCTCGAGGTTTTAACTACAAGTTACTATGGTTCTCCGGATATGAAAATTTTTCGTATAAACAAAATGGCGGCCGAAGTGAAAATATTTATCTAAAACTTTACAAATTTTTTTCTCGAATACTATAGATTTTCATGAAAATTTTTAAAGAACAAAAATGTCTTAGAATTAGTTATAAAATACTCTCAAATTTTTTCAGAATCATCCGAGAAAATTTTGGGATTTCGGAAAAGTCTCTGAATTGAAAATTTAAAAATTATGTCGGAAAATTTTGAAATAATTTGAGAGCGTTCTTTGTTTGTTTTTAAGACATTTCTATTCTCAGAAAAATGTTCCTAAAGAGTATACTTTTCGAGAAAAAAAATGTTAAAGTTTGCTAAATAAATATTTTGTTTACCAAAAACCATGCACTTTACGAAAGTTTTTCTGAGAATAGAAATGTCTTAAAAACAAACAAAGAACGCTCTCAAATTATTTCAAAATTTTCCGACACAATTTTTAAATTTTCAATTCAGAGACTTTTCCGAAATCCCAAAATTTTCTCGCATGATTCTGAAAAAATTTGAGAGTATTTTATAACTAATTCTAAGACATTTTTGTTCTTTAAAAATTTTCATGAAAATCTATAGTATTCGAGAAAAAAATTTGTAAAGTTTTAGATAAATATTTTCACTTCGGCCGCCATTTTGTTTATACGAAAAATTTTCATATCCGGAGAACCATAGTAACTTGTAGTTAAAACCTCGAGGCCGCGATCTATAAGGGTTTTAGGCATTAAAAAAATGCTTAGGGAACGAAAAGTCGATTTAAAAAAAAAATTAAATCAGAAAATCATGTTTTTTTATTTATTTTTGATTTTTGGACCGTAAAAGTTTTTCAGCGACAATTTTAACCAGCATCATTGGAAAGAGGACACTCGAAAACATAAGAAACAATGGTTCCTGAATTTTTTCCAGAAGAATTCATGACATGAGAATAGTTCAAACTCAGGTCTCGAAAAACCGTCCTGTGAGCGTTAATGGGTTAACCAGTTGTATCCATAACCTTTGCCTTGTATCTAGAACATCTTCTAATAGCACAGATAGATAATCCCGGAGAAATTCCAAAAAAATTTCATCAGTCACGTTCTAATCAAAGAAATAAGGCCCAATTCAGAAGCCATTCACGATTCCAAACCATACATTAAGACTCTAACGATTTTTATGACCAACTGAACGGTACCAATGTGGATTTTCATTTGACTAGTAGTGGCTGTTATGCCGATTAAAATTACTATCATTCTTGAATTTCGCTTCATCAGAAAAAAGTACAAATCGAATAAAATTTATCTGAATCATGTATAAATCTCAATGACACAAGCGTATGCGTTCTAACATTTAATTTGCGGTTGAAGCCTGTGTTAAAGTAATATGATAGGAATGATATTTCATGACTCGCAAAAGCCTGAAAATAGTTGTTTTGGGAATACTAGTTTTTGATGTGAGGATCCATGTTAACAAGTGCTAGAATAACCAGTACACGATCACCTACCTCGATGTTGGTAAAGGGCCTAGCCGGATAAGATGGTCGAAACTGCCCCCAACGGTTAAGCCAAGCGGAATATGGCATCTTGTAGGGCTTGATTAGAAACTCTTCTGACCAAATTTTCAGACCCCTAGGTGGCCAGAGGCACCCTGTAGGTCCAAAAAAGGATCAAACCGTTTTTTTGAGATAACTCGGCTTCTATAATAGCTAACGGAACCAGCCGAACGGCAAAAAATTTGTCTTAGAAAGATCTATATACTTTCCAGATTTTTTGGCCCCAAATTCAAATTTTTAGAACGGTTTCTAATTTTTAAAAATTGAAAAAAAAAAAACAAAAAATAACCCCGAGCTTGAAAAAATTTATTTTGTTTATTTTATATTCCTCTATATACTCAAATTTTTTCAGATTTTTTCAAGTGGTGGAACATCGATAAAAAAATTAATAATCATTTTTCGATCATTTTTCCTACGTTTCCGACGTTTCACTCAATTCCATCGATCGAAAATCATTCATTTTTCTATATTTTGTCAATTCTATAGTTACTGCGGTTATATATGATGTCTTTATACCATCTAAATGTAGATTGATCATTGGCTGAACCTCTTATTCGATTAGATATTCAGTGAGATGAATAAATCAGCGGATAATTTTTTGAGAATTTTTCTACAACGTTCCGTGTAATATAGTGAATGATATTTATCAGTTATTGTACACAGAGAAGAAATATGGTAACGGTTACTGGAAAATTACTCTATTCTACATATCGCAAAGGATTTGTAACTTCCGATTAATATTCTCCAAACTAAATTGATATAAGATGCATCAATAAAATATTACGATTGAATATATTTCTATATGTTTTATGAGCAAGTTCCACACTGTTGGAATTCCATATGATTGATACGAATGTCA